AGTTCCAGTATCCTGTTCTACTCACGTCTTCCCTACCTTTCTCTTCCTTTCATCAAGGTGTATTGCGATGTATTGACACGACATTAATAATTTCATAGCTCTTATGAAATTATCTTTCTCGTGGTGTTTTTTAATCGTGACATTGCATGTTGAGGGGAATTGTTTTGAGGTTTACAACTTTCTTTCATGACGAAATTATTGACCATTCTATAAGAAATCAGAGAGAAATACACGAATTAGTCAATAATTAATTAAGTCGAGGCCAACTCTCAAAAAAGCCAAGGGGACAAAAGTGGACCAAGTTCCACATCGGATCCCGGATTCCGGATTTCGAGAGGAAGTGTGGCCCAACAGAGATAAAAAGATTAAGATGAAGATGATATTCGTATCTAATCTGAATCTGAGTTTGCCTCGTCGGATCCGACCCCCATTCAGATCTCTCTTTTGATTTAAAAAAAAAATATGTGTAACTATTGTCTTATTCGGTAATAAATAAGTAATTTGGCTGAAGGATCACTAGGATTTCCATTTTTCCATAATTTCTGTCTGGACGAACCTGCCTCAGCACTCGAATCGATGAGAAAACAAGGGATCGAATAGTGTCGATCGCTTGTTAGGTCACGATCGGCTGCTCGTCTCATCCGCACATCTGTGGTTGTCCGCGAAAGGCGGCGGTGCCTGGGAGTCTTTCATGCTTTCTGCACCCCCCACTACACGTCTGCCAAGTATTCATGAGGGAGCACAGGAAGGGGGGGTTGGGGGGGAAGCGGTTGTCCACAAAGACGTTGAAGCATAGAGCGGAAAAGCGGGAAAAAACATGAGAGGGCCACTTTAAATGCTACCTCACTCGTGTATGCCTCCACCACAGCACGAAAAAGATGCTTCCCCCCTCATTTCAAGACAGTATAGTGAAAGGTTTTTTGCCGACACATCCAATGAAGGAAGAAAGAAATAGCATCTCTGGAGACTCATTTCCTTTTACTAGAGGTCAACATGTCTCAATTTTTCTTTTTTTATTTCAGTCGCATGAATCTGACGGACGGTCCGGGTTAACACGTTATATGGGGGGGGAATCTTTCCTTTGAATTTCCGTTCTGTCAACGCAAACCCGTTTCGAAAAGGCAAAAGCACGGCTTGAGCGTTTCACTCCGCAGGTTCCTCACGTCCTCGCTCTGCGTGAACACGGCTCCGTCCAGAGCGTTTCGCGCTTATCCTTACTTATCACTTTCGGAGAGTTCTCTCATTTCGACTTTGCGATTCCGTTTCCTACAGAAAATGCTGTCCATCGCGTATGTTACGGCTTTTCGAAATGTCAACATCTGCTGGGATTTGGCGAGTTGGACTTCGACTTGCACCGGTCGGGACCGCGAACAAGGAAGAAACGCCCCGACATAAAAAAAATTTAGAGGCTGCCATCTCCCATATCGCCATTGGTAAGGTCACTGCCAAGGTCGTTGCCAAGGTCATTGCTAAGGTCATTGCATTTCTCTTCCCGGATTCCGTCTTACTCTTAAATGATTATCATTTCTTTCGTTTTCAGATGATTGAGAGGCGCTAGAGGAAGCAGAGAGAAGAAAATGTAAAAAAAAAAAGATCGCCATTCAACTTTTCCTACGTTAAATAAAGAATATAAGCGAAAAGCTGACCCATGAGTATTATTTTTCTTGAGATACATGGCCGTATCGAAAGCAATTTGTCGCACCCCGTCTCTCGCGCCCGCCCGCGGGCATCTCTCCGCGCTCGCGATGACGTCAAGGCCGTCAAGGGCCGCGACGGGGAAACGTGGAGAGCGACGGCGAAAGAGAGGGTAAGGCCAACGTAATGGAGACCTCGTCGGTGGATCGCGTGATTAAATGCGTTGGTGTGTTCATACCCTAATGAATTCCCGATCGATAAATCGCTTCGTACAGGGACGTGGATAAAAGAACAAGAGTCCACTCCTGTCGATGGCGTACACGATGATTCCGTAAAAATTGACAATCATGGGTAATTATCGCGAGTACTAGTGGTGCACGACGGGAAATTGAGATTAATTAATCGAAAGAAATTGCTCCTTCAATGACTCTAGTTTACACTTCATAAGCCTCCGCGAAAAGGACCTTTTTTTTTTTATACCACTGTGCTCGACGATCATTCGCCGCTTCGATGATGCAGGCGCGGCAGCGCGCCTGTCGGTCCACCGTTCTCGCAGCCACGAGACTCGACCGGATGTGTCGGTCTGGCCGTCCAACCGATGGGATCACTTCCGCTTCTTTGCTGCACCACACGCGGGGTCCCGCTCGTCCACGTCACGACGAACCGCGACGACCGGAGAGAGGCGAGGAAGAACGCGAAAGGCAGACGACATTCTCGGGCGAACGCTCGACCGAGACTGAGGGGGAAGCCCGAGCGAGCCGGGCAGCCTGTGCTCGGACTGAGGCGGGCTGGCTCCGCTCTCGACCGCTTCTGCCTCCTTTCTTGCGAAAAGGCACTGCCCCGGGGACGGCAATGCCTGAGAGTTCGTCTTCTGACTCGTCCACTCCGTCCGTGTACGTTTCGCCTCGTTTGGCCCTTGGCGAAACGAGGCGAAATTGCGTCGCTTCATCTCGATTTTAAGCTTGAATAGGTTCTAATGCAGGGCAACTGGCAACTAAATGCCATGTTATTTTTTTCTTTGCGATTTTAGCGCATAGGTGAGGGAGCCTGTCGAATTTCAGCCTGTGCTTGTGGTCCCGAACGGTACGATCGTGATTTTTGGGGTCGCGCATGAAAAAGGTTGTGAAGCTCTAATGGGAAAATATTGCGGTGTGGATGATCCGAATGCGTGGCGAGGTACACGACCGCAAAACACGTATACATGTTTACTTGAACGATGCAGACGGATATTCTTAGACGGGCGTAGAAAATCCCACCAGGTCGCTATCCCCCTCACAAGTGACATCTAGCGAGGTCGAGTAGAAACCACGGCGAATTTCCTCTCACCGGATGAAGTTGCGAATACCGGGTTCTACTTTAGCAAAGGAAGAAATTATCCCTGCTCCTCGATCCAGTTTAATGTTCGATCAGAATATGCGTTGTGTGAAAATGAATTCGAAAATGAGAAGCTGACGCAGCTGCGTCGGAGCAAGAAAATGAAGGAACGTTTCGCAGAACGGATGGCAAGGAAACGCGCAGAAAACCTCTGAGAGTCCAGTCCTCACCAATTCCACTTTTTCACCTCTTCCACCCGATTCCCAGGAGAAGTGTGGTCGACCTGCTCTGCCCTGGCCCTCGTAACGAAATAATCCGGTTCTGCACGCAGCACATTTGTCTTACGGAGCGACGATTAAAGGCCGACGAGCATCTTCCCTCATTGGATTGAGTTTCCTCGGCGAGTCGAGGACGAATTTGTCCCTGTTCCTCGATCCAGTTCAATGTTCGACGGATTAAACACACCTTGAACATTTGACGGTGCGTAAACAAAGTTTCCACTGAACGAAAGCCAAGAAAAGTTGAAAGAACCCCTAGAACGTGGTCCTCCTGAATCGGTTCCATTCATTCAAGCTCGATCCCGAAACGAATGCCTTCACGCGTCCCTGCCTGGTGACGCTGGAAGCCGTCGGAATCGCCAATAAGGAATTAAATGCCACAAGTCTGAAGCGCCTGAACGGGGTAAAACATTTTTTTTTTAGTCATTGAATCAGTTGTTCGTGACGTTTTGATGAATCGCTCGATTTCCTGCGGTGAACGGAAAAAAAATTTCCACAAAATATTCCACGTTTCGTCCTTTACATCAGCTTCCTTTCATTTTGGGTATATTTCCCAACGGTACTTTAGGAACAAATTAGGCAGAGAATAAATGCTCACGTTGTCCATTGGCCGACTACTCGAACGACACAGGATCACTGGGGTCGTTTTTTTTGCATCCTTTCGGTCCAAGTGTGCCTTGCTTTGGATTTTCTTTGCTGGAGAGGACGCGCGAGGGCTCGTCCTCTAATGCCTTCGGTGAGGAATGGCAGCTCCGAGAGCGAAGCACTTCACTTTCGCTAGATTCAACGCACTTACCGAGTTTTCTAATTCGCTGGGAAAGTCAGACGCGAGTTTTCTCAGGGCAGGGTTTTTCGAGAAGTAACGTTTGCGCAAGTCTGTCCGAAGGGAAAGCCGATGCAGCTGACCCCCGGTTGCAAAATCGCAGATGGAAAAATATCTGGTTCGTTTAAACAGATTCCTAGTTCCTTGGAACCGATGGAAGGCGCCTGTGTCCTCACAGAGTCGCACGGCTTGGGAGCGGGGGCGGGGGCGGGGGTGGAGGTGGTCAAAGGTGAAAGGCAGGCATCGTTTCTCCTGTACCGATAGTTTTACGATCGAATTTACGGGTTAGGGCCTATCTGTTCGAAGGCCTACCTTCAGGACAATTCATGCATTACCAATCTATAAAACGCGGCAAATTTCTTGTGAAATTCTCAGTTTCACCTATGGGAATTTCACCGATGACAGCAGTGGAAACATCAGCAGCATGACCAGAAAATTCAACTCCCTGGAATATGAAATGAGACATCGGCAGAGCTAGCCAAGCGGGGGCAGGAGTACCGCTTAATCAGTTGACCAGCATTAAATATGGCCCAGTTGGAATATTGGGATTGGCGTATCCCAGTAGTTGTCAAGTTATTCTTGTCTACTTTCGGTAAAAAAAAAAAGTTTGCTATCTTCATGGTGAGAACCTCTCCGAGCCGTCAGTCTTGATAGGTGAATCGAATGATGTCACAATCCGAATGAAATGCAGTGACCATAAAACCTCACCATTGGATCGCCCAATCGCCTGCAGTTAATCGACCTCGCTCGGTGATCGCAACAATGACCCTAGTTCCTAGAATCGTCCTGCAGAAATTGACATGATTATAAAATATCGAACCAGCTGGTGAGAAACAAGCCGATTAGGGCCAAGAAGGGCCAGAAGAGACTGGGCAAGATCCAAATCAGGGGGAAGGCCAAGCAGGAAAGGAACACAAACAAAAGGCACGAACCTTCAAAGTTTGGAAATATATATATTTTCCAAGCCATCAAGCATTATCACTTTGGCCACATGGTCGAATCACTGCACCTCAATTCACAGTACAATACCACTTGTTTCACTGAATTTCCACAATACATTCTTAGGCCTAAATACATAAATGGCAGCAAGACCTTCTAAAATTTTTATACAAGATCCAGCACAGACATAGAAACAGACCTGTATGAAAGCTCTGACCAGAGTATCACAAGCAAAGACACTAATGAGATAAATTGCGAGGTGAGGCACGTGCTGGAAGGAAATGGAATGGAATGGCGCTTCAGCAAGTTATCCAGATCATGTCGACAAGGCTACAAGAACAAATAGCAGGACATTAAGATCCACGAAAGGGGCAGCCAAATACCGATCCCCATTCCTTCCCAGTCCCAGTCGGGATTCACATTCTCCCTTGTTATAGATTCATCTAAATGAGGAACTTCAAATCAGTTAATGTGAATTGTGAAAGGAGAAATTCTAAAACATATGCTAATTTTTCAACACTTCGGGGGAAGAAACGCTAGTTATTAAGGGAAAATCCCCCGTTTACGAGACAGTAGGCCTCAGACCTACTTTATCTTTTTGCCAGTTAGAGGACTGCTTAACTGTCCGCTAAAATTAGAGGAGGTTTGCGCATACGAAGATAAAGAAGCTTTAAGTTAGAAGTAGGTTGTGCATTCGAAAAAGGGCCCTTTAGCTTAAAGGCCCCTTTATCTCTCCTAAATTAGGTTTGTGCATTCTGGCCAAAGTGTTTGCAACCGCGATGCAGGAAGCTTAGACCGAACCGCCCAATTATTTATTCGTCGGAAAACCTCAAAAATTCTCTGGGGGTATTTCCAAATTAATGGAATAGAAGGACAACCGTTTATAAGATTTTCCATTGATGGGCTCCTGGCTCCAGAATTTTAATAGTAGGCAACTTGAAAAGAAAAGTTCGCACGCGTCAACTCGAAACAGACCAACACCTACTTTCAAAGTGTTGTACGTTTAAGCTTTGAATGAAGGTTCACTCGTGCTTAGAATAGAAAAATGGAAACGCGTAAGAAGACACCGATAGCGTCTAAATAAATTATCCATATTATATCGAGTATAGAAGCTTGGGAAAAAAAGTAGATATTCCTCATTACTTATTGCTGCAGAGCAGGGGTTCTTAACCTTTTTGCACCTACGGACCCCCCAGATCCTCAAGTATTACCATGGACCCCCACCCCCGGTTATCAGAAACTTTGGAACACCTAGATTTGCGATTATAAATGATGTTTTTCGGGAGCTACCTTCAATTAAATATTTAATTTTCCATGGACCCTCCACGGACCCCAGGTTAAGAACTACTGCAGTAGAGGGGGAAAAAATAACTGAAAGAGGCAAGGCGGCGCGTCGGAAAAAGGGCAAAACTGTGTCCTTACCGATATCATCCAGCGATTGTCAACGACCGTCCTCAAAAAAGAAAGCTGTATTGGAAACAAAAATTGTAAAATTGAAAGAAGCAGGGTGGCAGGTCGGAAAAAGGAAAAATGGTGTTCTTACCGATCTCATCCAGCAATGAAGGAAGACGTTCCTCATCCGTGTTTCCTGTATAGAATATACAAATTTCAAATTGAAAGAGGGTGACAGGTCAGAAAAAAGGGGAAAACTATGTTCTTACCGATCTCAAGTAGCAAATATTGAGGCCAGTCATTATTCATGCTTCCTGTATAGAAGAGACAAATGTCAAATTAAAAGAGGCAAGTATGTGGGTGGGAAAAGGGGCCAAACGGTCTTCTTACCGATCATATCCAGCAATCGTTGACGATCGTCCTCATTCAAGCTTGCTGTATTGAAAAAACAGTAAAATTGAAAGAAACAGGGCGGCAGGATGGAAAATGGAGAAAACGGTGTTCTAACCGATCGTATTCAGCCATTGTCGCCGATCATCCTCATTCAAAATTGCTGTATAGAAGAAACAAATGTCAAATGGAAAGAGGCAAGGCGACGGATCGGAGAAAGGCGAAAACAGTGTTCTTGTGGGATAGGGTTGAAGAAAGGTAAAATCGTTACCTCGTTTGATTCCTGCCGTTTTACTGTTATTTATCGCTTGTAAAAACTGCTTTTCCATTTGTTGCATTCGAACCAATATTTCCAAGTTTAACGTACAAAGATCCTGTTATTTGCACTTCGATGCAAAAAACTTTCCTACTTAAACATGTAACCTTTGATGAACCAGCAGTAATGGTTAGAAAACTGACAATTTACTATCCTTTGAATAAGAGTTATATCAAAAGTTGCAGAGTAAACGTTGACTAAAGTTAAATACACTCCTAATCGTTTGAATACTCGTTTCATGGATTTTAGGTTTACAGCCACTTTCATTGCACGTTTCGGCGATAGGATTACAGAGGAAGGATGACAATTTCATAATCAACTCAAATGATGCACTTTTTTTATAACAAGAGAGAGTGCGAAAGAACTCTTCCAGCCCTCGTCGCCGTTTCAAGTCCTACGCTGCCTTCACTCAGCCCTCCACTCGGTACTAAGTGAATATTCAAGGGTAAAACAGAGGAAAAACCTTTCTGTATAGGAATTTCGTACATTTATTTTGGCACTGATTTTAATTGGCATTAGAAAACGGCCTACTATTCTGTCGCATTGGAAATTAAGAAACCTTTTATCATTCCTGCTTTTAGAGGAAACCAAGTCTGTCAGTACATATATATACATATCAAAATTCGTGCACTTTTCTGATAACACTCTGGTTGTTCATGGAATTATAATTTGAAACTCATTTTGGTCCATCATCAATACTTATCAAGATACGACAATTTAAACATATACCATTGTTCGCAGACAGCGCAATTCTTATAACACAGTGGAGGTTGTGAGGGCTTATTTTTTAAACAGCGAAAGGGTTAAGGCTGTTGGACGCTGGAACGTATATTTACGTCTCCCCTTAACGTAAGTGTTACTGTCCATGAAATAAATCTTGCACAGCGGTGGCGAGCGGCAGCTAAGAAACTTCGCAGCGATATGATTAATCCATCCCGCCTATATGCCTATCGAATGGCTCGCCTATGTCCTGGAGTGGCAAAGGCTTTTTAGGCCTAACGGCTACACGAACTATGAAACGCCTTAACGTTTTCCATTATAAACTAGCGGCCTTCTACCGTACACTTGATGAGGAGTGAGAAAAAGTCTAAGAACAGTCTAAACCAGGTTCCCGCTGCCAAAACTTGATCTACAGTTCAATATGCAACTTATATGCATCAAAGAGAGGATGAGGCACAGCGTTCTACATCTAGCACATGCACATGTAAATAAATATGGAAGGAACCACAAAAGATCAAGAAACGGGACACATGTGGGAACGAAACGGAAAGTTCATATCATAACGAACGAACAAAGAAGTGCTTCATCAAAGACCACATCGTCAGTGATGGTGCCAGCATCGGTTTCGCCCTGCTTCGGTCCATCGATAACATGAATATTGAGCGAATACTCAGAGCGAACTTGCGAGCTGGCAATGTACAAATGTACAATGCATGGATACGGGCTCTGTAAGTCCGACTTGATCAAATATCTCTCCCTGAGAATTGAAACTCTAGACAGATAATGAATGCAGCCACGAAGCGTACCTGTGATCACCTCAACTATTATGGGTGTTCAAATGAAATGGGGATTTTTAGTACCCTACCCTAGGCTACCCTTAGACTATGAATAACAGCCATTGCCCCCTATTCGTTTGAATCCCCCTAATATTAAGATATTTGCGTTCAGGATTCTCACGATCCTAGGCGTGTCGTTGGTAAGGTCGGTCCCAATCATAAGATTTCATACACGCATCAGGATAGCTGCAATTTTTATGTTTAGGGTATGCGGAATGAATATTGAGAATGTTGAATAATTCAAACAGAAAAGTGGCTGCCCATCGACAGTATCACCACCATGATTGTCCTTCACAATGTCGATACTGTGTCGTGTCCGCAATTCGCCTTCCAATCGCGACGACACGTTCACATTGACATAACTGGAGTGCTCATTCTTGGGACACAGAAAGCGCGTTTGCTTCTCACTTCGGCATCACAGACCCTATGTCGTTGCCCAAATAGCTCGTTCACCATATTATCTGAGATACGATCGCCTGGTAAACGCACGGAGAGCTCAGATGGATCGTCCTGTACTCGTGCAAATGTTTCACTGCCCGCATCAAGTAAATCGAATTTCGTTTGCAGCAGCGCGCATGTTTTCTGTAAAACGAATCGTTCGGAACAACGGTCACGACAGGCTCAATTTGACGCGTCTCAATGACTTAACCCCAAGATCCTTCGCGGACGACTGGCAACACTTGGCGAATGTCACCACTCAGCACAACTACTTGCTCACCGAATCGTACATCGAGTCTCGCAAGGCCCGTTCTACCGTTGTCAGAGCTTCAGCGGGCGCCATCGGCGCTTCATCCCAAATGATGACGTTGGTAGCTGGAATCATCGCCAGATTTTTTCGCGATGAATGACACGTTCAGTATGTGAATCCGTGTGGTGTACAGGAATTATTTGCCAGTGCCACTTGCTCCATCGATAACAAACAGCGGCAAACTTCCCGTTCCGAATTGTCATGCTCTGCTGCATTTGAACCACTTCATTCGCATCATAAACAAAGAGTTGAGTATATCCGAATTTTTTACTTTGATTTAGAGTAGAAAAGATATTATCAAATGGGTGCAGACTGGTCGTAATCAAATGATAGACCTCGCCGGATGCTTTGAAGCAGTAAGGACCGTTTCCGGAAGTGTCAACAATCGTTCCACCAAAAGGAAGCAAACGCTTTTGCACTGCCTGATCAACTCGCAAAAATTTGCGAGGGTTTGCATCTTCCCCCTTCAACAACGTTTTCAACTCTGGCCAAAACTCCAATGGGATCGAATTGAACATCGTAACATGATCGTGACAACAACCTTGCCGAAGTCTTCAATTCGAAGTGGAGTAAGGCAAAACCAAGCAGTGCCCTACAGAGTATTACACTCTCATAAGGATCGTGCGGAACAGCTGGAAAGACGTTGGGCATCCCAGCCAACGCAGCGAGAATGTGGGTTAAAGGTTCGACGCGTACACGCACTGCTCTCCGCGCAGCGTTAACAGCCTCATGCTGCTCTACAGTTAGTGCATCTCTCCTACGCGCATCAACGTCTTCACGTTGCTCGCTTGTTAGTGCAGACCGTCGCAGCCTCGCCGCTCCTCATCCATGGGCGCATCACATCCCACTTTAACACTTCGCGTACTGCTCACGGAGATCTCCGATTTTGAGTCCTTTCGCAAATCATTTTGCTTAGCCTATGGCCGAAAAAGTCATAGCCTTATCGGCATCGAGCTTTAGGCCAAGGTAACTGAGGCTTAGGTCAGAGCGGTGGAGTAAATTGTCTACAGGACAATTTACTCACAAGACAATTTACTCCACCTAAATTGTCTACAGGACAATTTACTCCACCTAAATTGTCTACAGGACAATTTACTCCACCTAAATTGTCTACAGGACAATTTACTCCACCTAAATTGTCTACAGGACAATTTACTCCACCTAAATTGTCTATAGGACAATTTACTCCACCTATCAATCATTCTCATCCCCCCCTCCCCCAAGCCAAGGTCCTGGAAAGGCACAGGCTTGAATTCCTAACAGCTGCATGGGCGAATCACGAAACGCGCCTAGCCTATGACATGGAATGGCGAAGGCTTGCAGGCCCATCGGCTATCTAGCCTATGTCGTAGAGGTGCCAAAGCTGTATAGACCAGAGGCTACACCTACCACGAAACGCCTTAGGTATTCTAATATAGTATGGATGGATGGATAGTAAGGATGGTAGAACAACAGTTAATCAGATTCTCCCATTATGGGCTTCTGGCTCCGGAAGTGTGATGGAAAGAATCTTGATAAGAAAAGATCTCATGCATCATTTCGAAATAGGTCAATACCTATTTTCAAAGTGCTGTAATGCGAAGCTAGTAGGAAAGCTTCACTCGAGATGAAAATTGAGCAATAGAATCGCATAATGAAGACTTAGAAGATTTTACTCATATCCTATTTATTGCATTGGGTACAGAAGAGTGGAAAAATATAAATTTAGTGGTTAGTGTACCTTAATTTAAATACTAGCGCTTTAGATTTTCGCTTCAATTTCCATTTGCAATTTTCACTATTCAATAATGCGTATATGATGATGTATTCATAATCGCACAAGACTTCAGACCATACAAAATGAATAAGGGAAAGTGGAGAGAACAAAAATGAACTACACTTACTTCGAAGTGTCATCCCGTAAGCTCTGTCTCTTTCCTTTACAGATGTCACCATTGCCTGTACGAGGGTGGGATGTTCTCTCTTTAGGCACTCCAGTAATGCTATGAAGGCATTATCCCCACGAATGGGAATCATTTCTTGTAGAAACCGCACTATTCTTGTTCTCTCCCCTACCATCTCAATAAATTCATCATCCCAGACTACCCCCTTCCTCCTCAAGTCCAAGAGAACATCATCGAGGTGGATGAGGAGAAGCGCCTCTGTGTACTCGACCAAGACTTCCCATACCAAGAGTGCATACCCAGCCATGACGTCTTGATACGCCTACCAGTCTCGGACTCACTCTCCTGGAAGAGGAAGTTTCCAACGTTTAAATTGTCTTGTTGCACTAAAGATATTACGGGATAATCCAAGTAAGGGTTAAACCTCAAATTATTCTCCCTATAATGAACCCTTAGTGAAAACAGGAAAATGTTCTAGACCATTGCCTTATTAGGTGCCCATACGAAATGAATGAGGAAGAGGCTGAAAAAGATGCTACAAGTCATAGTTTCTGGCGGTCATTAATGTGTATTTTGCGTTTAACGAGGGGCAGAAGCCATTTGATTAGTGAGTAATCTTGAAGAACTAACTTCAATTTCGCTAATTGAGAGGTGAACCTAGACTATTTCAAAATTAATTAGCCAGGGCATAACTTTTTGGAGCAAAAGTCTCTATTTGTAGTGTATACAATGTAAAGAGAAGTTATTTTTAGGAAGGTTGTAAATCCGGACTTTCGTTACTGAGGAAACTACAGACCTGTCTTCTTGCATTTTTCTGCAATTTTATTTTTTTCTTCCACGCGAGGAGTCAGACTCAAGATGGTTTCTTATCACTCTGACTCACGAAATTCCCACAAATACGACATGATATTACCAGGAGTCAGGGGCTTCATCCCCGACATGAACTATGTTTTAAATGTTAAAAGCCCTGTAGGATACGAAGAAAGGAGTGAGGACATAAATTATCCCCGGAAGGGAAATGCTCGGAAACTCGACTCGCTTTGCTTCAGGTAAGGATAAAATTTACATGGGTCCGCCGGGCGGTTCGGAACTGAGATGAGGGCAGGTCAAACAAAGAATACTTTTGAGTCACAGCACTGGCCCTGACGCACTCTCCTTCAGAAACGAGAATGTGGGGCAAAAGTCGGTCGAGATCAATTTGAATGCAATGGAACATTACCGCCAGTAAAAATGATTCACTAAAGAACCGGTCAGAGGAATGAGGCTCTTCATTTTTCCATGACAGCAGCGCTCCTGAAGTCTCACTGAAATCGGTCGGTAGTAGGCTGTGCGAATCCGCGACTCTTTTCCAGCAGACGACAGTCCCTGGGTACACGCTTTTGTGACGTCAACGAGGATGCGACAACCGGAGTTTGTTTTTAAAACGCAATGGCAGCAAACACAGAACCAACTTTGCAACCTAGGGGTCATGTTCCAAACCGTTTTTTTTTTTATCATTTCTCCCGTGTTTTCGAAAATAAAAAAAATAGATATGGCACAAGGAGTCCTACCCCTCAGAAGTAGTTAGCAATAATTAGGCTTTCAATTTCAACCTCCAAATGAATTTGGCCAATTATTTTAAGGGTAAGACCTGCTGACTGAAACATGGGACGTTCCTTTTTTAGGGACTATCTGATTGGCACCTAAGTTGGAAATAAACCGATGCTAAGAGAAAGTGAAGAGCCAATGTGTACAAACAGGTTTATTTCCACCCCTTCTACTTTTTGCAGAGAAAAGTTCCTGGTACTTGGGTCAACTGCTTTGGGGTTTTAAGAATGCCCTTTTGGGGAACCTTTTGCTTTACACCCCTTCCCATTCAGGCAAGAAGGACATTATTTGTGGCATGGGGGACTCTGTCCTCCATGGTCAGCATTTGTCTTTTCTTCCTGACCATAACTTGTTTCCTGGTTGTTTGGCATTCCTAGGCAACTAGAACCAGTGACAGGACTATGTTGTGTAGGAGACTTTTGTTGGCAAAAATGTGTAATGAGTCCTTTCCTCCCACAGGACTCTCAGTTTCCTGTAATGTCCAATAAACTTCTAAGGCATGCCCCCTCCCTTCTGCAGAACTGGCAGAGCACGCATCCACTCAACTGATTCTGTCCCCTCACAGGTGTTCCGGGGCTGTGGTGTCAGCGGGGTGGTCCTTCCTGGTGGGCCGAGCTGCACTCATCAGCTTCAACCCCTCTCTGACCTCTGCCCTTGTGATTGACTCAGCTGCACCAGCTGCAACTGCCGCATGAGGGTGGTCAGGGTGTCTATTTTGGCTTAAAGCTGAGCAATCCAAGGATTGTCAGCTGAAACCATTGCAAGGGGCTGCACAAGTGCTGCCCAAGCAATAGAATCCATATGGTCACTTGCAGTGCCATCTAGTCCTTCAGCTGTTCAAGTCTCTGGATGTGGGACAAGGAATCTGCTACATTTTATACATTTCTGTAGTCAGGAGTGTTTTCCACTTAGCCAGGAGACCCTCCCAATGAAATCGAATTAATGAAATAATTCATATAAAGAGGATATGCTCCAGGCAGTGCATCTAAACCTAATACAGCCAAATAAACCATTAGAGACCTCTCAAATTCTTTGACTGACTCCAAGTCCAGTTTGACCCACTGCTGAAATTCAACAAACATTTGTTTCATATGGGTCGAAAGCATTTGTCAGTGCTCAAAGCAGAAAGTCTCAAAGGATTGGGTTGCAAGGGAGGCAATGCAGGTCTGCTGCAAGGGAGAACCACCAGGAATACATACAATAAAATCTTTGTTTTTTCCCACTGATCTGTCTACCCAGTAATTGAGGCCAACCTATCATAGACGAACAGGTACTGTCAGGTTAGTGCTGGGTTGATATTGTGACGGATGAGGACGGCATCGAGAGGCACGACTGAATGTCCCGGGTTTTGTGTTTCTGAATACTCTTATGAATTATTTCATTGTATGGTATATTTACAAGAGTATTACATATGGTGAGTGCTTTTAAAACCTTCATATGCCATCTGAAAACTTGAATTTAAAAAAATTTCAATAGTGGGGTTAGAAAAGATCTCCAAGAAGAAGCAGGGGTTAATATGCTATAAGAAAGCTGATGAGAATTTTAGCACATAACAATTTTGGAGGCAATACATGCAACTGAATATTAAGTCTTTGATCAGGATGCTACTGATCTTAGAACTCAGATATTGCCAAAATGAAAATACAAATTGAAATTAAAAAATATGAAAGCAATCTGGTCACCATAGGCCTATTATTAGGCTTAAATTAGTCTATTAGTACCCATGTCCCCCTATGTTATAACTCAGGTTTTTTTTTTTCAGGGTGATATTGTGCATGTTTTTCATTGGTGAAACATGCAAACATCATGAAAAGTGCACATGATGGAGTCAGGAGTTGATTGCCCTAAAAGAGTGAGTTTTTCTCCTGGCTGTAGGCCTACCTGATTTATGGTGTGTTTACTATCAGGCAAAATCTTCCAGTTGTCTTTCCAGATTAAGACCTTAAAAATGGAGGATGTTCATGAAGAATTATCTCATTTTAAAATTTTATTTTTATGCCCATTATGACAATGGTTCTGGGAGGTAATGTTAGAGAAAATGCCAAATCCTACTTTGAGAGTTGGGTGTTGCTACTTTTCATAGAGTTTGGTTGGAGATGATGCTGAGTGCATGGATGTGCATATTTATCAAGTGAATGGAGAGAATCATGTTCTGAAGCCTGGGAAGTTCTTAATTCTCAAGTACCCCTTGTTGATTGAGAAAAGAAAAGGTGGTGATGTCCAACAGCCATGTGGAGGATCTTGTTTGGGGAAAGTATCTACAATATGGAAGAAGTCTTCATCAGAGGATGTATATGTTACCCTTGAGATATATGTATTCCCTGAGTATACGAAACAGGGCCGGAAGAGATATCATGGCAAGGTAAGGATATCAAGGCAGCTCTTAATACTTGACAAAAAAAAAGAAGCTATAATTCCATTAGGTGCATCAGTGTTATTCCATAAAATTTGGACATTTTATTCAAGTATGTGGTATAATTAGGATGAAGTTGTTTTGGTGGAGGAAAACATGGATATCATGGTCACAGAGCTACCAGAGTTGGAAATACAGATAACTTCTGAGTGGCGCAGGGGATACCTTTGCCCATTATCACAGGCCAGTAGAAGTAAGGGTCATAAGGAGCTCTTTTTTGCTAACAACATAACAGGTAAGGCCAAGAACTTATGGATTCAGAATGATGTAGTCAATATGGCTGGAGGAGTCTATGACTCTTATAATCTCTGATGTAGATGGCGAGAAGGAGGATGTTCCTTTGGATGTGATGGTGCTAACATTTGTGCAATATTGGCGATTACGAGTTCTTGCTCGGAGAGTGGCATCAGAGGACATGGAGGACTTGAGTACCACCTTCTTAGCAGGCATTGGCATTCCTCTTCCTGGAGGCCCCACTAAAGTGTTCCTCTCACGAGAAAGCTGTCTCATGTCTAGCCTCATGACTACCAGTGGTATGGAGTTACATCATAAGTGGACTATGTTTGAGTTTAAATTTTGATGGAACCTATGAATTACATCAACTGTATTTTTAGGTGATTCAAAGATTGCTGATGGATGTGTCACTGAGGTCACTGAGGCAGTCAGTTCAGACCATATTGACATAGATGGTGAAATCAACTTGAAGCCAGGAACATCTGAGGTGCATTCAAGAGGTGAAGAAAAATTTCAATGTCTTATCATTCATTTGCAGGGCTAAGAGTTGATCTGCCATTGAAACATTTTACATAATCAGATAACTTAGTTGTGAAAGCCCAGCTTCAGAAGTTGCCATTATTCAAATGTTTCATTAATGGATTCCATCCCATGTGGATTCATATTGCAGTGCCATTTCTTAGCATAAACTTAACATTGACATCTCAGCCTTGTGACATGTGGCTGACAGAGCTATAGCATGTCACAGAACCTGACAGTCAATGTGTTTATAACAGACTATCTTCTAGCCCTAATGATTCTGTGAGGGAGGCCTATTGACATTTAAAACCCTCCCCTGTTGAAAAAAATTTGATTTAAAGTTGGATACTTTTCCCTAGAAGAATGGAGATTTTGCTCTTTGCCAATTTTGGATGCTGTCTTAGAGTAAGTGGCAAAATATACTGCCAGTTGGAAGTTACCAGATACATGGTAATGACACTGGCAATTGCCAGTGACTGTTGAAATTTAAGCATAAAAAAGATATTGCCTTAGAATCAAATAAATATGGTAATTCAAAGTTTTACTTCTCAACTTATTAAGTTCTTTTCATCCTTAAAGTATATTCTTAGCCTCTTGAAAGCAAAAATTATTTCATTCTCCTCATAAGGAAAACAAGTGCAAACAAATAAGCAATTCAAGGATAAAGGAGAACTTGTAGATGCAAAACATGAGCCCAGGGATTCGACATGTTCAATTGATCAGCTAGCAACAGTCAACATAGCAAATTTTTATTTTCAAATCTGTAACTTTTTGTACAGTTAAAAAATATGGAGCTGCTGCAAAAGATCAAACCTCTCATTGATTGTCCTTAAAATCTATCCCTCTCGCAAATGCCAAGTGATCAAGTTAGCCATCTTCACAAGAAAAATAAATACAAGACAGGTTTCCAAAGTCAAACTTTAGTCAGACTTTGCTTAAAAGCCTAACTCAACTGAGGCAGAGCAATTGGCTCCTTATATCAGAGTTTACAGTAACGTTTGATGTAATGTTGCAAATGTTTTGAATACTTATGGACATCAAATTTAAAAATATTCAAACTCACCTTGTCAATGGAACTGAAGAGGGAATTTTTATTTCATCAATTTTTAATCTTTTTAAATGAAATCAGAGGGCCTCTGCTGAACTGGAATTTGTTAACTTCTCAATTTGCTTTATGTGATGTTTCTTCAAATTGAAAGAGAAGTTATGGGAAGCATATCAGAACCAAATAGATGATGACCTGGTTGACTAAGGAGCCTTCAGAGACTTTTCTTTAACGTTTTTCGGTACCGTTACTCACTTAAAGTAGTACAAGTTTCTACTTACGTCCCAACTATTGAAATGGAGAAATGATGGTTAATCAGTATACCAATGAAAAAAGACATAAGTCGTTGAGTTTGTTTGGTAGTTCAAGGGCCAAATAAAAATCTTCATGTTAAGGAAGAGTTTCAAAGGTACCTTGCAGAAATGCTGGGAGTTCAAAATGAGGTCTCTATCAGCATAAATATTATTAGTGATGGTTCAACAACTTGGGAAGTTATGGTGGGATCATCATATTGCATCATTTCTGCAATCCAGTATATTATTCAATGCCAGAATTTGTGAGGTGTGAGAAACTGAAACTGAAGATTTTTATGACTGGACCTGGTGAAATGAAGGTATCCATATTTTATAATTATTTTCTTCCATTAACCTCTGTTATCATATATGATACCTTTGTGTTTGATTTTTCTTCCCTACATCTTACAAAACTAAGTTTGTTTGAATAAAAATGTTATGTATATAATATATGTTGTGCTTAGCACTCCTTTTGCAAATCAACAAAATGCATTTTGGAAAAATTAGCTATGCTTAACTGAAGCTCAGGGTTGAGGAGATTAAGGATCTTAGCCCTTTTGGTATCATCCCAAGTTTGTCCTTGTCTTGTGGCTGCCTGCCAGGGTAATGCAGGCAAGTGGGCGGCTGCATGATAAGTATGTATTCAGGACACTGTCAAAAGGGTTAAACACCTTTACAAGATTGAGAGGAAGTATAGCCCAATTTAAATTTTGTTACTCACCAGCTTTGTGATATATTAAATTGCCTCCTATTATTAAGCAGGTGAACATTTTTTAAATTATTAAATGCTTTTGATTATTGGATCTCTACAGTATGGTATATGAGAGCTACCTCAAAAGCAAGTGCATATTCTACAGCAAAACACTTGGCTGGTTCTGCTACAGATGGAGTAAAAATGGAGGGAGAAATGCTGTGGGATGAAATGAGAGATGAAAACTGCAAGATGGCCCAAGGAAACATCAATGGGGAGAAATTTGGTAAAAATTTTGGAGCTGGAAAAAGAGAAATTGCCCTTGAACATCTGCTGCCCAAGAGTTTGAGTTCATTTTCCTCAGAGAAAGATGCTTTCATTGGGAACTTGTTGAGATTCATGGAAAGTAACAAGACACCAATTCAAAGGATTCCAAGTCTTGGACACAAGAGGTTAGATCTCTTTCACTTTTACCTTGAAGTCAGGCTCATGGGTGGGTATCATGCAGTAACACAGAATAAGCTGTGGAAGACAATCTATAATGCTCTTGGTGGAAACAAGCAGAACACTTCTGCTGCAACATACACTCGAAAGCATTATGAGCGGTTGCTTTTGCCTTTTGAGACCCATGAAAGTACTATGCTTGGAAAACCATATGGCAAAGAGTACATTTTCCAGGAATTTGGATTAGAAGGGAATCGGGACAACAGTGGATCGCGGAAGAGAAGTCGAAAGGCGAAAGCACCCCGGAAGAGAGAGGATGCAATTCCAATGAGCTCAGTCAACAATGGAATCAGCCAGGCTGAGGGAGATGATGGCACTCCGGATCTTGTACTGCCGCATGAAATAGTGCGCAATTGCATGCAGTACCACAATGATGCAGCATTGCAGAATCTAGCTCGAATTGCTTGCCAGTTGCAAGAGGAAGATAGTTCTGCAATGCTCAAGAGAAAAATCTCTGGAACCACTCAAGAAAAGTCATCAGATGTGGTGCCTTGTCCTGCATCAGTTGAACGGTTTGATAAGCAATCCAAGAGGGGACCCATCAAGATGAAGAAAGCACAGATTTTGACTGCAGCACCTGAGTGTGAGCTCAGAAAGTCTCTCCAAGGTATCCAAAATGTCAAAAATGAAAGTCCCTCGAACAGAGAAGAAATGGCTACTGATGCAGAAGCCCTTGATCTTAGTACAAGTAACAAGGGTTCCAGCAGCAGCAGTCATGAAATGAATAGTGAAGAGCTGCTGGATCTTAGTGTTAAGAAAAGTCGAATCCAGGATATTGGGCCAAGCCAAGACTTTTCAAAGGTATCTCAAGAAGAGAAGCAAACATCAGTCTCTTCACCTGGACATTCCATTATTTCACAAGCTCCATCCAGCCTTGCAGCACAGCCTTTTTTTTCCTCTGTAGGATTCTCTCCAGTTGTCTACCCACAATTGTTCCCACTTGACCTGTTCTTTCCTTCAGGAGGCTCTGGAATTCCTCCAGCTGGTCCATCTTTTCATGATATGCACAGCATGCTGCATGCCTTCCCAATGACTATTGCTCTTCAGAGTGGGCAAAAAGTGGAGCAATCAACATCCAGCTGCAATTCAAATTCAGAGGCAAGCAACAAGAAGGGAGCTGCTTAGCCTACCTCATACATGAGTTATGCTCAATTATGCATGGAACATGGTGCTAAAAAGTGCCTACATTTTCAGTAGTCTCTTTTTTGATATAGTGATACTGTTAGGGCATTACCTTCCTTTGTCTTATATCTGGAAACAGGTGCCAACTTTCACTACGTGTCCTAGCAAGTGATCTCACAAAATGATCTAAACTCTTAGCAGTGTATTCTCTTTCTACTCTTGGTTTGATGAGGGTTTGAAAACACTTTTTTTTCCAATATGGCATACTCTTTGTACAATTTCCTGAAAAGATTTAAGGCCTCTATAGTAAGCCATCCCCTTGGGTTTTTTTTTTTCCTAAGTCCTGTAACAAGAAGGCTTCCCCCAGGATGTTACGTTACTGTTTTCCAACACAGCAAGGACAAGTTGCAAAATAAACTATCCATGCTTATGAAAGTAAGTTCTGCCATTTTGGTTCATGATTCATGTGTCCTCATCAGTGCATTTAATGCCATAGGGGTTTTTCATATCTTTGCTAGCGTAACTGGTCTTTTGGTTCCATTTTTGATCTCAAGATACTAGTTGATATCTCAATCTGCAGAGCAGGAGCGTCAAAGTCTTGTCAAGTGAGTTCAAAGATGGACAGTCCAGATGTGCAATAAATGAGATACATGAGTGCCTTGCATAAACTGTGAATTGTAGCGTAAGTTTAAATATTTCCTTCATTGTGTTCTATCAGTAATTACCTAGCTTTTCTTTGATATTTTTGATTAGGAATTGTTTTCTTTTTTCCTGGCATTTTTGCTGCACTGTTAGTCACAAAATGTACTTAGTGAAAGGTTCTGTTATGTACTCATTTACTTAGTACCTGATTATTCAGGACTCGCAGATATCTCATGTCAGTAAGAGCTGTTGCTGTAGAATTGATGAAATCATTTTGATGCTTAGATTTTTTTGGTGAGAAAAGGGGTATATATTGATGAAGAAAGTAGAATCCAAGTTGTGATTGAAAATGTACCAATTTCCTCTCTCCTGTTGAATAGATGCATCCATGTAGTTTCATGCCTTCTCAGTCCTGTGTCCTCCTTCATGTATGATGTTGAAAAAAAAAAGATTAGGCAACCCAGAGGGGCAATTACTAAGAGAGCATCAAAATTTATCATTGCTGCTGGAGTCCTGTGCAAATGAATTTGAATTCATGCAGAGATGAGTACCAGTTGCGTAAAGGAGCAATTTTATGTTAGTGAGAATTGCCTCACTCGTGTGAATTTCTTTTATTTCTTGTAGCATAATACAATTCAAAAAATGTAAGACGTTAGATGTGAACTCTAATACTAATGACTCCTACTTTTGACTCCCATTGATCAGTTCCTAGAGCATTGTATTTTGCTGTGTTTGGCCTACATCAATTGTGAATGGTCTTCTGAGATGCTTGTACTAAGTTTGTGAGAAATGATGGTAGCAGATAAGTATGTGTTGTGTGTTGAGTATCTAGCAGTATGACTAGATCATCTTGAAAAATGCTTTTCTTTTTGTCTCTTGTTACTTTGAAAGTCAAGTGGAAGTTTAGAAGTTATGATGCCTAATGCTTCATGAATCAGAGCAGTTCTATCCCTGTATTTAGCTGCTGTCAATAGTAAAATATATGCAATCCAGAATGATGACAAAATATGAAATTCAGAGTGACAAACCTTCATTCAGCAAAATTTATATGACTTAGTTCCATAATAAAAAGATCTCTCCAGAAAAGCACTGCAAGATTCACTTTTTACCCTGCTGGTGCAATTGCACTAAGTACTTGGGAGTGCAATTGTATGGGGTGCCAAAGTGGCACTTTTTGTCTAGAAGATGGGATGTGCCATTGGAAAGGAGTCCAATAAGGCATGAAAGGCTATGGAGAGCCTTCAATTGTGATGCTTTTCATGAACTTTTTTCAGAAAAAGATCCGCCGGGCATCAGAGGGATTCTGCTCCATAGGACAGTAGGGACATTTCAATCTGAAATTTGAAATACATACATTACTAATATATTCAAGTACAAATCTAGCAAGAAAGATTCCATGCTCAAGAAATAAGACTCACTTATTGCCATTGCTCAGTTTGTGTAGAGCATCTCTAGAAATGCAGTGGCCACAGGTGAGGCGCATGGGAGGATTGGAATCTGAAGTCTGCTGCCTCAGAATTGGGCAAGCAAACAAAGAATGATACCTGCACTCCTTTCCCAGGTCAATCTCTATCTGTAGGGTAAAAGCATTGGAATAGCAGTTTATTTTGGAACATCCATAGACCCTCAGCTGGCAAATCACATGGAAACTCACTGGTAATTCTTCTCTGGAAGCCCATACTCCTGTAACTAATCTCTGCTGCATGACCTGCTTGATGTTAAGGAGAGCAGGTAGGGCTCTGCAACCAGCATTCACTCTGAAAAGGAAAGGGGATGTCTATGAAACAGCTCAGCATAAGAGTTAGAAAAAAATATATGACTAAGATTACATAAGGACATACACAACAGACAGGTGACTGTTCACGCTGAGTCCAAGTAGAGCACAAGCATCTTTGGTAAAAAGTTCACCAATTTCTCCCCACAGGGTAGAATCTGACAACCATCCATAGGGTCCCTGAGACTTCTCACTTCCAAGGGGGTATAACATTGCTCCCATCAGCACTTGTATCTCTGGACCAGGAAAAATCAAATAAGGAAATAAACACAAACTCACACATACTCCAAGTTTTCTTTTCATTGTCTCCTATACTCTTAAAACTTAACTTGATTTTCCTACACATCATTAAGAGTTCCAAAAGTAAACTTCTTAGTGGCAATTCACAAGTAAATGAAGTGATTAAGGGTGATCAAGGCCTTCAGTTGCCAACTGAAACTCATCAAAAGCAGAAAACCTTTTTCAGAGGATGACCTGCCTTGGACTCCTTTTGAATGGAGCCAATTTAGTAGAATTTCTCATTTAACCTCTTGATAGTACTCTTAAGGGTGTAGCTGCAGGGAAACAAATTGTTTGAAATATGGACAATGGAAATGGAGTGATTTTATCAAAACAAAATCCATTGTTTTTGCTGTAATTTTACTGGATACTCCATATTTCTCAATAACAATTTCTCAAAATATTGAAGACAAACAGGACAATGATCAGCATTCTGGAATCTTTAACTGATTCATTTGACCATATCCCTAGAATGCTTTTCATGAACTAAAAAAAAAAGACTAATTGCCTTTTGGGCAACTTTAATGACACCTGATGATTATTATGCTCAATGTGGGCCACATTACTTTCCTGCTTACTCTGTACCAGCAATTTCTGATTGGCTCAAAAGTCTTGTAACTCAGCTGAATGATTCTAAATTTTCAGTAAAGAAATAGTAGGCCTATAATTTAGCATCATGTAGGTGGGGTCAATGAGAAATAGCTTGTGCAATAGCTAACTTTGATATGAAAGGGTTGAAGCCTGGGTTTGTCAATATCGGAAATACTGCCTTCTGTATGTTTTTAAAAGCACTTGCAATGGAATGACAAAGTGGTGTTTGGCTCTTATTTTACTGAACAATTATAAAAACTGAACCATGAAAAGAGGATTCAGAGGTCTAAAAATCTCCTATTAAAAATCGAGAGCCTACAAACAGAGACACTATGTCTCAAGCTCCATAACATTTGAGATATGAAAGTCTTCCAAATAATCTGATCCATTTGACCTATTCTCAGGTATGTAAGATTTAAGCTAAATGTGAATTTTTTTATTTTTTTATTTTTTATTACAATACAAATTGGGCATCTGAGTCTAATTGATTTATTTTAACCCATTCCAATACAGGTTTATTCCAATATCTGATAGGCCAAAAAATATTTATTTCAAGAAAGGAGAGGAAATAATAACTTTTTGCAAATGGCATTCTTAGCATCATTATTTCTGCAGCACTACTCTGTTTCCACTTTGTTGTTCCTACCATAGTACTGTGTTTGGGTGTGTGTATTAATATCAGAATGATTTTTTCCATCCCCAGTTCCATCACCGGTATACAGGGCGAGTAAAAAAAAAAAGTCTAGTCTCATTGGGAACACTTGTATTTACAAGAGGTGTTGAAATTGCATGCCCTGGAGGGAGGAAAAGATGTCCATGTGCTGGAGGGTATTGGGTGTGATTGCTGCACATTCATTAGGCACATTGTGTAAACATTGTGTATTGAACAAAATATAGTCAACCCCTATAAGACTGGACTTTTGACTCACCCTGTATATTAGGATTATTGGAATGGGTTAAGAATATACCTTCTCATGATCAAAACTAAATGCACCTTTTTTTTCTGTCTTGTCTTCTTTTAGAAAGATACAGCTTATTTTGCTAAAAGTTTTACCAGCAAGCATTTTTTAAAGAAAATATTGTTTTGATATGGCAGTCTGTGAAAATCAACTTACTCTGAGTATGGCCAAAATGAGGAATACAACCCATGGCTTCTGACATGGGAAAAAAAAAGAATGAGCTTGAAGCTGATGCAGAAGAGCAACAGTGCAAAACCTGCCCTAAGCTGTGAAGTGTTTTCCTTAAACCTTTTACTAATTTCTGAAAAGCAAAGGGGTTTTATTTTGTGTCATGCATAGCCCAGCATCAAAGGGATGTGATATGATCAACTGACAAAGGGGGAAAGTTGAGGGGCAGTGATGGCATGGGCCAAGGGTAAGCAAACATCTTTCATGCATTTTCAGCCTTTGTTTCCAGCCCCTTCTCTTTACTGGAATAATTCACATCAGTTCCTATGATATGGTGGACGTGGCAGAATGGTAGTGAGCATATTCCCACTTTAAAAAGTGAAAGAAAAAGAGAAAAGTCTAAGCTAATTCCCCAATAGAGATCTAACAGTAAAAGGCTAGAGGGAACACACTGTATGGTCAAAGCCCAGTCACAAAGATGGATAGGAATTGGATAAGGTTCAGAGGAGCTGAACTTGCTCAAAGAAATGAGCTCCCCAGAAAAAATAGGCTTAGTTGGACTTCCCCACCTTTCTCATGCTGCTGAGCAAATGGAGGGAAGTTCTCTCGAGCATATTTCACAGCAGCCAGCTGTGATCCTGCTCCACTATTCAGGATCTCCAAGAATTTTAACTTGTGCAACTTGAATTCCAGTCTACTTGCCTAGGGCAAAACATGGAGAAGGATCAAGGCAATGCAAAAATGAGTAGATAACATTTTCTCGCTTCTAATACCTTCTCTTGCAGTTTTTCTCGGTGCCTTCGAGCCCATTCCAAGGCTGGCTCGAGGTTCTTGTGTTTTAAGGCTTCTATAATTTGATTGAGCTCCAAAAAGGGCTCTTTGCGGTCTAGTTGCATGTTCAAGCCTGCTTCCTAAGTGAAAAGCATAATACAGTACTCATCATTGCAAACTGTTTCCACAAGAAATTCTACTCTGGAAGGTTTAAATTATTTTCATTATTAACACACTCTTCCATTAAAGTGAAAAGCAAGTTAAGAATATGAAAAACTGTGAAAAGAGATGAAACATGATAAATTATTATTCCTCTGATATGAGAAGTGGGAGATGAACTTTAAAAAGACATTGCACTGGCATCTTCCCTGTGATCAGTGGGAGATGGGAGTTGAAAAGTGAAAATGGTCTTTAAAAATAAAAATAAACATCCATTCTGTAGAATTGTGAATACTTACTTTGGCTAATTCTTCACCAATATCCAACATCCCCTGCCTGAAAAAATGCTGACATATGACTTGATTCAACAAGCGCTCCTTGTCTGGGCCACTAAGGGCTGCTTCACTTGTTGCTCCAGCATAATCAGCAATAAAGTTCTGCAAGATATACAGACACTCAAGGTTCACCATCAACATTTTTCCCATAATACCTTACCCAGTTCAGAAAGTTTTCTCTGCAACCTTTCTTTGGATGTTGACTTACAGATAAAATTTTTCTAGGTGAGAATATCTTTGAAAGTTTCCTTTTCTAATATTCATTCCTTGTCTACACAAGAAAGCCTTCTGTTGTGGATGAGCCCTAAGGCATTATTAATATTAACCAATTATACCTATGAAGATGATAAATGGTGAATTTGAGAAGTCATACAACACCGGTAAGTTATACTTTGAGTTCAAATAAACAAACAAGTAGATGACACCAAGCAAGATCAAATATGGTAGTATATCTAGCATGAAGTACTAGTACCCACCCTGTCTATGGCCTTCCCAACTTTTGACACAGAACTGTGAAGTTCACGATGCTCAGTTGCAATCTTCTGAATGGTGTCTTTCACTTTTGCAACAGTCTGGCTGAGCATGAGCCTCTGAGTGGTGGATATTTCAGCATCTGGAAAGCAAAATTCAAAGAGTCTAATTCAGACCGAACGAGAATTTTAGAGTCGGTTCTAAGGCATTTAACACGTTCGCTGCTGCTGACGTTTGTTTCTATGGAAAGGATAATGACGAGGTGCATCATCGGCAGCGAATGTGTTAACATCTGCTTTAAATTGACAGCCACTCTGAACTGATTTATAATGAAAGGGAATCTTTTATGAGCAATCACTGCATGCCCCAGGTATAAACTGTTAAGTAAATTATGTAGCAAAATAGTAGTAATTTTTCCAGAGTGAGAGTTGGACATACCACTTCCATATGAGAGCAAACTGTAGTGTTTGGAATTCACAGATTGCTTACCTGAGTCCCTACCATCACTGAGTTCTCACCTGGATTTGAATCCAATTCAGCCTCTAATCTTGACAGTTCTGCACTCAAATCTTCACATACTCTTGAAGTATGCAGTTGGGAGCTATGAAACTTTCCCACAACTCTATCAATGTCACGGCCAACTGATACCCAGGCATCCATTTCCAATTGGATTCAGTAGAGGCCAATTTTATTTTTTCCTGAAGAGCTTCATCCTGGATGCTCTATTGGGTATCCAACTGAAACTATTGAATACATGATTACAATAGGGTAAGGACTATCATGGATGGAATGGTCTATGCATATTAGACTCCTTGACAAGAATCAATAACTATTGAATGAAAAAATATGGTCTTGGTAGCAACAGTAAGCAGTTCTACTGGGCCTGCACATGCCTTGGTCTGCCTTAGAGTTGGAAAATAACTGCTAAGCTTTGTATATCATTAATCAATTTGGCTTCTCGGAGAAGTATATCTCAGTGTCTATTATTCATATGACCTTGTATCTTGGCATTGCAGGTCATAATACGATGGGCAGAAGAATAATAAATGAAATGTAGAAGGGCTCCACAAAATGGCTGGAACAGGAATTTGTGTAACAAAGATTCCAAATTTTCATGATTTCCAATGAAAGCGAAAAGGGGGCAGATGACTGACAGCTGACTATGACACCATAAGTGTAGGATTGGCAATCTTTGCTATTTTGCAAGGAATGCATCACTGTTGAGTTTCACTTTCACAAGTATATTAGCATGAATGCTCCAGCATGCTTTTATAGCCATTATCAACCAATATATCTTGCCCTTTATGTGAGATTATGTTTGACCCATAGACGCTAAAATACACCAAAGTATCCCAAATGATTAATTGGTTAATCAGTGGATTAATTTGCTTCATGAGTGGGTGGACACTTCTTCAATGAGAGAATCCTTGGACATGGGTTAGTGGACACCAAGGATAAAAATGCTCAGGGAGTCTGATTATCTATCCTGTGGTCTCAGCCATGTCCTGTCCAACCAACCAAGAAGACTCAGTTTCTGATGGTTTATTTCCCAGGCTCACAGGCTACTTGTGATAAAGGAAATGAATTCAAGTTTGATTTTATCCTTTTTTCTCATTCTAACCTTATTTGGAAAATGAAAAACCTTTCAGAGAGCTATCTGCAATACACCCAGAACATGTTGAGAGAGTGTGCCAGCCACACTTCTCTTATGTTTTACTTTGTTCTGTGAGTACAAGTTAATGCCTTGTTTTTCTTTCTTGGAGGTGATAAAAACTGTGAAAGAAGCAATATGGATGAACTAAGGAGAGAATAAGATGAATAATTTTGGCAGGATCTATGTAATTTTTGAATGTGAAATTTCATTACTTTGGAAGCTGAACTTGGACTTTCATTTGGGACCAAGTCTGATGCATCTCTACTACATCATCTTGTGAAGAATAATACTTCATGATATTGTGCCATCACTGAGAATGCACACAAGTGGATAGTGTGATGAATGAACTACATGACTTCAAAACTATCTTGGAGCATGCTTCTAAGATTTGTGGATTTGAGCCATCTCTTTCTGAGGGAGAGAGATAGAAGTTGGGGAAATAATTTACGGGTCTCCCATTTCATAAAAATTAGTAGTCTGTGATGCCAGTCCAATGTCCTCATGGCCAATATGGTGTGACTTGTGTGTCCAGCAAGTTAATGAAGCTTGGAAAGAAGCCCAAGTGTCTGGAGTTCCCTAATCAATCCCTACTTAAATTGGCTTAACTTTAGTATCACCTTTATCTTGATCAATATT